AGGGGTGGGAATCTTTTACTCTCTTGCGATTAGATACTGATCTTTGGGGCCACAATTTGATTCAAAATCGATTTTCCATTCAAAACTGATGATGTGAGCCATTCTGCAAACTTTGGCTTGCACACCTTGCTCATGTCAAACTCAGACTCATCCAGTAAAAACCAAAATGAGCCCAAATCATTGCATTTAATGAGGACAGGGTCAGTTGAATCTCTCTTTCCTCCAGTTCTTTAGTTTCCTCTTTGTTTTGGTGCTTTCTGCACATTCATATGTTCCAGAAGCAGCTGTATGGTGACGTCAGGATGTCCTGTGTACCTGTAGTTACAAAATGTAGGCTGACAGCCTTTGGATTTCCTTTATTCTTTTATTTATAAAAATCAGTTTTGGTACACTTTAAATCGATTCTGAATCTTCGTAAATGAGAATCACGATTCTGATGTAAAACGATTTTTTGATGCACCCCTAAAATTTATACCAACAGTTTCGAATTGAACAAATGAAGTAGAAAATACAAAAATCAAGCCAAAAGCTTTGCTCGAGAAAACATTTTCACCTTTTTGCACTCACAGCAGCAGTTTATTTGGTTTTACTATTAATTCCAGTTTCAGCCCAGTTTGGGTTGTGTCAGTAACCTCCTGCTCTATTTGGGTTTTGTAGAACTGTTGCAGATTGTGTCTCACATGTTGTGCCTGTCTGTGCACCTGTCAGGCCAGCAGCACCTAACAGTGCAGACGATGCAGGGTGGAGGCCTCCAGCTGGCAGCTGCGCAGGGCCAACCTGCCATCCAGGTGGATCAAACCCTCACACTGGAGCTACCTGCTCAACCAGGAGAGAAGAAGAGACGCATGGCCTGCACCTGTCCCAACTGTAAAGATGCAGACAAAAGGTGAGTGTGTCGACAATGTCACACATAAAGGCTCGTGTTCTTTCACCCCTTCTTTTTATTTTCTACACAGACATCTATCTGCAAGGTCGCTTACAGCAGGTAGTACCTGTTATTTTTCTGATGACACAGCACCCTTAAATCTTTTTCATGGTTGTCAGACCCTGGTGGTTCCCTACCTGCTTTTGTGGATTGCTGTGATGACCGTTACCTTGATCTTATTGTCTCTAAACTTGGGGTGTGTAAGGGTTTAACCTTACCTTCTTATAACAATGTTATAAGGAATTTATTTTAGCAAGGATCTCTTTATTTTCGGTAAAATATTCTTCCCGTGCAAAGTGAATGGACAGTGTGTAGGATTTTGTCAATTCTTTTAGCCAAAATTGAGATAATCACCAATGACAATAATAAAAAACATGTCTAATCATTGCAGACAAAGACTTTGTTTTATTGTTTTTACCTTATAAAAAGCTGTTTATATCTCCATGGTCGCGGGTCACCAGTACAGGCAGCCGCCATCTTGCACCGCCATCTTGTCTACGAAGGCTCATGAAGGACAAACTGCAGTGGCGGCGTCAAAAACGGTTTTAGTTGTAATGCTATAAATGTAATATTTGTTGTCTGTCATTGTAGCTGGGATAATTTTACTTATTAAAAAAGGTATCATATCATGCTTTTAAATCC